CAGGAGGCAACCAATCAATGATTCTCTCTCATCATTGATGTTTCTATCTCTCTCTCCCTTTCCCTTCCTCTTTGAAATCAATAAAAAATAAATTTTTTGAAAAAAAATCACTCACTGTGTATCTGAAATTCAAATGTACCTGCCCACCCCACCCTGTATTTATTAAATCTTGCAACCCCAGATTTACCTGTCATTTAAATTTAGGCTAAAACTGAGGCTGGGAAGATATATATACACGCATACCAGTATCTGAGACCTTCACTCCTCCGCTCCCTGGTAGCCAAAAGACATGTTCACTGCAATTTATAAGCAAGCAGCCAGCTCCCCTACATCAAGCAAGTCAATGCATTGTTCAGATGAACAAAGCCGGGAGGAAACAATTCAAAAACAAAGAGGGGGGAAAGTTTTCCTAAATGCACCCCTCTCTTTTGCAGTCACTTCCCTGATACATAAATCTGAACTGCAGATCTGCACAGAAACCTGGCCTCTTGGTGGAACAGGCCGTGACCACCCCACAGGGCACAGGCGTCACTATACATTATTTAGCCCTATCAATAATGCAATACCAAAGCCATGCTTTGAAAGTTCTATGCCTTTACAGGTCTCTAAGATGTCACGTGTCTTATTTTTAATTTGTTTTAACCCTCCCTTTACAAAAAAAAAAAGTAAGTTCATTTTTCCTTTTCAAAGCAATATTTCCCTGTAGAAGAAAGGCAGCAAACACAGACAGCCCAAAGCAACTTCCTTGAATCTCATTTCATAAGATATGTATGCTGAGTACCCGAGCCAGGTCCCTGGGGGAATGTTCGGTTCTGAACAATGTTGTCCACTATGATGCTGGTGTATGTGCAAGAAACGGAAGATGAAAACACTACAGAAGTTAAGAAGCATTAAGAGCCAATGAGTCAGCTAGTTCTGTAAGAATTGAATTAAATCAACCACCAGATTGTTCATTGATTATCACAACCAGCGAAAACTCTGCCGCAAAGGCACGTTTCCCAGTTCACTTGGCTAATCCCTTCTGAACAAGAATCCGAAGAATGAATACTATTCAGCCAATGGAAAGCTGCACAAATTAATCTCGCCAAGCGCCATGCTGGCAGCTGAACACAATCTATAAAATAATTCCAGACTATCATAAGCCAATAAGAACTAAAGCTGTTATCCACTCTTCCAAAAAAAAAAAAAAAAATCCAAGCTATAAAAGGTTCAACGTGACACCCCCACCACTTTACAGCCAACTGCTTCAGGCTGGAAGGCCATGTGAAAATATTTTTAAAAAGGAGAAAGATACGAAAGTAGAGCTTGTTAAAAACAAAACAAACAAAAAACTGCAAGAAACGTAAAAGGCCAACTAGGCACCGTTCATCAATGTAGGTAAACTTCACATTAACCCCCAAACTGTAATGAGGACACAGCATCAGCATGACCCCCCGTTTGCTTAGATGAGTGACCACATATACGAACAATCTAAATGAGTCTAAAACAAGTTGATTAGATTTATTCTACAAACAGAAGAGATTAACTCATTTCACTGGACAGGCAGCAGATTCAGAGAGGGACCCACAAGGTCCAGAATCCAGTTACTGGCAAAGTTCTGACCTCGCAAGGTGGTGGATACACGGTGCGGGGACAGCACAAAGGGAAGGGGGCCAGGAGGACAAGAAACACCCCATTCACGACGCCGTGTCCCTCTCGCAGTCTATTTGAATGCTGCTCTTATGAGGCTGCCAGCTTTGAAAGTAATAAAAGAGGGGGAAAATATTGTAACTTACGTCCAAAAGAAGGGAGTTCTCTGTTTGCCGAGCTCGCGAAGAGACAGAGGAAGACCGTGCCAAAGAGCCTTCATCTTCACGCGAAGCTTTGTATCTCTTTTTGGCCGCTGGGTTGGCAGTTTAGAAAGCACCCACGTGAGGTGACCCAGAAGTGTGTGAAGGGGGAAAAACACAGCCCTGCAGGTGGAGCTGGCCATGTGATGGCAGGAGCCCCCTCGCTGTCCGCTCAGTGTCACCTGTGACACCCCCCACCACAGGTCAATGCTCCATGTTCCTCTCGCCCAGCAGTTCCTCCCAAGGTCCACAGGCTGCAATCTGTCTGGTGTGCTTTTCATTCAAAATCACGACCCATTCTGCCTACTAATTCACCTCCAGGTAAAGTGACAGTTTGCTGCCCTCGGGGCTGAACGCCACTAGTCCTGGGAAGGAACGAAAGACACTGGATAAAGGAAGGAGGAGGCTGGGAGTGTGAAGGGAGCTCCTAGTTCTGAGTGACTGTCAGGCTTTGAAAAGGGCATTTTCTACTATTATTTCAGATTATTCCACTTTAGCCATACATATATGGTAAACCTATATAAAGTATTATATATGTTTTATGATATTGCATTTTTGCCCTCACCATTTTGTCCTGAAGTAGAACAATCTGTAATCCTTGCACCTTTGAGGAAATCACTCTTTCACTTACTGATGGTTTGCAAGTCTCGGCCTGCCTCCCACCTCGGGGAAGCAAACTTTCTGGTAAGGAACCAAGATAGGAGACATTCCAAGCTTTGCAGACCAGTGTCTATTGCAATGGCTCAACTCTGCCACCGTGGGGGGAGATGAGCCAGAGATAAGAAGTGAATGAATGAATGCAGCTGGGTTCCAATAAAACTTTATTGATGGACACTGACATCTGAATTTCATACCATTTTCACATGAATAAACATTCTTCTCTATTTTTTTTTAACCATTTCAAAATGTGAAAACCATCCTTAGCCCACAAGCTCTCCAGCATTCATAGATAACATTTTGATGAATTCTGGAGGGGATAAAGAGGAAGGGAGATTATGCTACTCTACGAATTTGATGGGAAAATGTTCTGTTGCTTCATGTTGTTTAAAACCTCATTCCTAGCTCATAAGCCAAGCGTCTTCTCCATCACACCACACAGAAAGAATGTAAAGAAACTCCTGCCATCAACAGTAGCAGAGAAAGAATAATCCATGCATTGCAGCCATGATTAGTAAAATGAACTCAGTTCATGTGTTAGCATGCAGTTTTGAGATTGGTCCTTTTTGAAATCTCTGAAGCATCCTGTAAATTCAGTTTGCTTCCCGGGCACAATCGCCTCTCAGTGATTCTGGAGAGAAAAGAAGAGTAAATAAAACCAGCTGAAAATCACAAAAATAGGAGATGAATAGGTTGGGCAGGGAAAACACATTAAGGGAAGGTGACCCTGGCCAAAGATGAAAGACCTATGATAGGATGAATATTTTTCCCAATTAGCAATGAAGGGCTGATTTCCTAATTTTAGAATGTGGAGTGAACTTAGCAACTAATCCATCTTCTTTTCTCTCGTTACTTTTCCCAGAGTGCTGACCAGTTGCTGCAGGTAAACCCCCATCAGCTCTACACGCGATACAAGCAGCGTCAGTAAGATCAATCATGCACTAAATGGATCCTGAAAAGGTACAGTGTCTTCTCCACCTGGCTGGCTTGCTATTTTCTGATATCCAATCCCGACATAAAGTGTAATCACATTCGGAGGTCACACTGGCCTTCGGAAAGGGGAGTGGCCATATTGCCTGCTTCCGGGAGAGTCAAGGGAAGCGAGGGTAGGCGAGCATTGCTAAGTGTCAAAAACATCTTTGAGAGTCATAAAGAAACTAGGCTTAGAGCTGGGAGGCTCCGCCCTCTCAGTGTCTTTCTACATTAAGGTCATATGTGAATCATGTCAACCAACCCTGACCACTGTCCAACCTTTAACAATGAGAGGGAGAACAACGGCAAATGAGCAAAATTGAGGCCACTCTCAATTTAGACATGAAGGCGCCACACCACGTTGGCCAGTAGGTAACATCCTGTTTTACCCTTGGTCAATCAGTTTGAAATGTTTAGGAAAGACTCTCCAAAAAATAAAAATAAAAAATCCTCAGGGCATTTCCTCCTAATAGGTGCATCCTGATTTTTTAAATCTTGGCACTTTTGTTTTTCAATCAATATTTCTGAGTGAGAAGACATGGACACACAGTTTGCTTTATTTCACTGTCTGGGGGGTTGGGTGTGGCTTACTTGTATCTCTATTGTTTTTCTCATTTGAATCAGACCGAGCCCCAATAAATTTAGGAAAAATGTCAAATGAACCTGAATTATCGGGAGGATTTTCCATGCTCTTAAGACAACTGGGCGAACGTAAACATTGTACTCACAGGATGGCATGCTAGGCCACAGAACAAGCTTCCTCTCTTTGAGGTAAAAAAAAATCAAAAAAATCTGTAAACTCTGTTTTGTATTCACCTCTCCAAAGGAAGTCCCAGACCAAATGACTGTCACTGCGTTCGGGAACATTTCAAAGGATGCTCCAAAGCGGCTCGGATTCATGCGATTAGGTGAGTAAAGAAAGTAAGAAGCAACTGTGATTCAACAGCTTCTATCTGGGATAGGGGAGGCCCATCTGTCTGCAAGTGAAGACAACACAAGAGCTTAAAAATAAACCTGCCTTCCTGGGGGACCTGGCTCCCGCCCCAGGGCACCTCCTTTGTGTATCTGGAATCTGAGGAATTTGGGAGAGAATCCTGGGCTGCTGCCCTGTTAGGGGATCCCTCTGTGAATGTGGGACACAATGAGGCCAGCTGCCACTCACAACCTTGATAAGCCACCGCATCCGTCATCCTGCCAGGCTCTACTCGGCTCTCTCCCTCTCTGGGGTGGCAGGGAGGAACTTCTCATCTGTTGAAGCCTGACGCGTCCCTAATAGCATCTCCAAAGCTGCCTCTAAAACAAGTGTGTTGCAGGAGCAGCAGACGGCTTCGAGTGGAACATGGTCACACCACATCTCCAGGATTCCTGCAAAGGCCCGTTGGAGTGGAGGCCCTTTCTGAGCCTCTCACGGCCTGCTGTGGTGTCTGGCACAGTTTCCAGTTCCAAAAAGGAGGAGATTTCCCTGAGGCCAGGGCCACTCCCCGAAGTTCCTGTACACCACACAGCCACTCTCCTGGCCAACAGCCCCGCCCTGGGCTGGACAGGGGACCTGGCTCTTACATAATCACACAAGGACCTCTCCGTGGAAGAGGAAGACTCAGCCTGGAGACAAAGTGCCATTTCCCACATTTATCTTTCAAAATCTTCATTTCAGACTAATTTGTTAACAGGCCTTTTCAAGAGATGGGCACTTTAAAAATCAACTCCAGATTGCTAGAGGAGGAAGAGTTCCTTGTTTTCCCACTGGCAGCTTTCAAAGTCCTCTGAATAAAGGAGGAAGGCTGCTTTTCTTTCAGCAAATAATTAATGGTTTCAGTTACAATTTAATTTATTTACTCTCACAACACCCCTATTGGTAGGTACTATAATTGCGCCCACTTTACAGATAAAGGAACTGAAGTACAATAGGTTATTTGCCAAAGGCCATGTAGCCTGTAAGTGGGGAAACCAGGATATGAATCAGTTCTGACTCCTGATCAAAGCTCTGCACCACTCCACTCCGCTGACTCTCCACCGCCCCGACAGCTCATTTCATTCAGGTGCCAGCTCCAGTCCTTTCTCCCTCCCAACGAGGAAAGCATCACCCTCAGTGAAGCTGCTGTAGCCACGGGGGCAGTGGTCCTCAGGGGACACCTGGCAGGCTAGAGATATTGGAAAGGGATGCCACTGGCATCAGGTGGGTGGAGGCCAGGGATGCAGCTAAACATCCTACGAGGCACAGGACAAGCACCCACCACAAAGAACAGTCAGACTACAATGTCCATAATGTCAGACTCAGAGAAGTGCCCTCAGACACAGATCTTCCCTCTATTCCTTTTCTCTGCCACTGCCTTCAACCCTAGTGACTAATTGCAACCAAAACTATCTAGGAAACCATCTTTCCTAGCAAGGAGGCGTTCTTGCTCTCCTCCTTCCTGACCTCCCCCTATCAAAACTCTGATGCAGACAGTCCCATCTCCACACTTCCACTCAGCTCATTCCACATGTCTAACCCCCGTGCAGGCTTCAAACGGTATTTCGAGTGGAGTTCGCCCAAGAAGACCAGTCCACAGCAATCGTTTCCCCTCCTTTCAGATAAAATGAGCCCCGGCCGGCACAGTTGGTAATAAAAACCACTGCCACTGCATTCCTACCACGTGCCCCAAACTTTGGCCAAGCATCTGATATATATTGATATCCTCAGGACAACCCTGAAATAAAGATAAGGTTATCTCTGTTTTCCCCACGACAAAACTGAAGCTAACACCAGGTAAGGGAGTTCAACGGCTTCAGCCTGAGGAAGTGGGAGAGCCAGGACTCAAGTCCATATCCAACTGATTCCCATGCTCAGGCTCTTTCTGAATGGGGCCCTTTGCCCCAAAGTACTCGCAGAACATCCAATAAAGCACCAGCTGGTGGACTGATCCCACAAGAACGACTCTCTGGGACTCAGGGGCCACTCTGTGAATGAGGTTCCCACTGTACAAATTTCTCTTTTATTACCCCGCACATAAACACATCCTTCTCTTTGCTTTCCCCTACTGCATATACGCATTTTTTTTATTAAAAACTTTAATGTTGCCCTAACTGGTTTGGCTCAGTGGATAGAGCATCGGCCTGCAGACTGAAGGGTCCCAGGTTTGATTCTGGTCAAGGGCATGTACCTTGGTTGCAGGCACATCCCCAGTATGGGGTGTGCAGGAGGCAGCTGATCGATGTTTCTCTCTCATCGATGTTTCTAACTCTCTATCCCTCTCCCTTCCTCTCTGTA